TTGACGGGTTTCTGCCCAAATATTCATGCATCGAACTTCGGTCTGCGCCTACAGACCTTAGTTTAAACTTATTCCTCCAAGTAAGTAGTTAAATTCTGGGGAAATTAGAAAGCAATATTTATTGCAGCTGATATAGAAGTGCTAGAAGCAAGATTTGACAACAACCCCCAGGTAAGGGCAGATGACTATATTAGTGGTTTACAATGCACCCACAATTTGCACGTCTAACTTGCCTAAGGGTCTGTAAACGAGAAAAGTTTTAGGGCAGCGATGAGCCTGTTGTTAGTAGAGCAGTATATTATCAGCCCGATTAATTATCGCCCATTTGCCTTAAGTGTGTGTTAGACAAAAGTTTCGTCGGACAGGTCGCATATTCCCGTAAGAATGTTGACACAATCTGCCCTATTTTGGATTAGCCGTACAAGACTCCCAGCACATTGCCAGCTATCCGCCAGCACCACGGTGCCGCGTTAGCCACCTTTCTATTTTAACCATATTGGCCATTGTAATACTGTCATATGTGAAGTTTACGACCTCGATCACCCTAATGGCTAATCCTCTGGGTCACCCTACCTTTCATTCTCATGCTTTCTCTCGCCGACTTGTCTATCCGTTAAACCTACGCGAATCGACTGGGGACCCATAAATACCGAGGAAAAATGATGTCAGGGCACCTTGGACCGGAAAACACCTCCCCGACGCCTCCACACGTCATCCCCGTTCTCGCTAGCTGGATCTACCAAGGACTATCTCCAACCCAAAGGTCCCCGCCAAAGAGCCTCCCATGTTCCCTATCTTGTCTGAACTCCAACCCATCCTCTCGTCGTCCTAAATAATCCTTTATCCTTCTCTTAAGCCACTATCTCGTGTTCGTATTGGGGATAGGATAAGAGGGTTTCGACATTTAGCATGGCTGGGCCGCTTACATCCCTTCTACAGGACTGGTGACATTTTGGAGTGCATGAGTGTGTCTAATGCCTATGGTATAACAAACTGATAAAACGTGTTGATGGCAACGCTTCCGGTTGCACGGTCTATGAGAAGTTAAATAACATAAGATAGGATAAAGCCTTCGCTGGGCAGCATAGACCTATCACCACGATACTCAATGTTTGTGTTTTCTCCGTATGGATTATATTAGAGGCAGCTTACGTAACGATGTCCCGACCAGACCTCTATGGATTGCCTCAGCCAACCATACTGACGCTTACTACGGTAGGCTATTAATTTTACCCCAAGACTTTCTCTCCGTGCAAACGGTGGTTTATTTTTTCCCAATAGTCATTTTTTATTTTTATTGTGGCCTGAATAATCGCAGCCTCCGATTTCATATTTTGACTACTTTACAACGTCTGTGGTACGTCATTCTACATTCTGGCTACTCTTCTGCCTTATTGTAGTCCTTCAAGGCACGATATCATGCCGCTTGAAGCTCCACACGTGCCTCGGGAAGTCTTACGACCGCATCCGCAAAACAGTTGCTAACCAGGTTTACACGGCGGAGTACCAACTATTCTGTCCTTTCACGGGACACAGCAGTCACAGTGACTCGACCCAAAAGTCTGCACTCTGACTGCGTGTCCCCTGACCTCCTACATCCGGTAAACTTAGTTGATTGTGGCTTCGTGCAGCATACCGTACTATTTGCTAACCAAATTTCGCTGAAAGTCACAAAATCAATGAAATTTAAGATTTATAGGCGCACTCGGGAGGGGCACAACATCACACACACACACGCGACAGTTCGACCATCGATTTCGATGATGTCCACCGTGTGCCCCACAGTTGCAGCAGCAATGGGAGCAGGGACGGTGACTTGCGCATGATGTTTATAGTGCCAGTAGACTTACGTGGCATCTACCTACACTCTCTCCTCCTCCCTCGCCCAAGCCCGGGGTCAAGACAGAGTCAAGAAGACCGGAGACGGGGGAGGTCGCAGGTGGATGGCTCGGACGGATTCTCACCTTGGCGTTCCACCGCACGCCCTGGTCCACACAACAATAACCAGGATTTTAACCAACACAAGAGAGATTTGGAGGCTAGCACGGCCGAATCCGCACCTGGGCGTGCCGCCAACGCCTGGCTCGGATCCCACACTGTGATGGGAGTGCCATAAAGGCCACATTAAAAAGGAGCCATTGCAGCCTGACTCTCAGACCGCCTCCGGTCAAGGAGGAGGTCCATGTTACCCCGTCAGTTGGCAACCTTCCAAGCCACGGCTTTTAGCGCACCGTGATAGCTTCAAGCGCGTCTGATTGTTTATAGTGAGGAGAAAGTGCGCTGAGTCGTCGACCTCACTCTCCCTCCCCATCCCCTCACCCCAGTCACTGTCCGAGCCGGTCAGCAGCCTGGAGTGGGAGATGGGCGCGGTGGCTGTCATGGTCGACTGACCATGACTGCGCGCGCCACAGCACGACCTGGCCCCCGTACACGCAAACACCAGGATTTCACACAACGGGGGTAGAACGGCGTGTCTCCCACTTGCGTGAGAGGGCCGTGGAAGGTGCTGTTTCAGCCCGTTCCCAGCCCACTAGTCCGCCACTCCACACAACACACACACAACGTGACGAACTGCATGAACCGAGAACGGGCGTCAATCAGCAACCTTCCTATCCACGACACTTGACGTGTCGGAATAGCCTCGGACTCAAGTCACCCGTGCAGCCGAAGCCGCATGGGGACCGAGTCGAGATGCACAATTCCCACTTGCGTGGAAGGTGGCAGTTGGTGCATGCGGTGGGTGAGTGTTGATGTGTGTTGTTAGTGGTGGAGGAGGGAAGGAGGTTTGTGGATGTGTGGTGTAGCCGGCAGTTGTCTACCGAAGGTCGTCGTGAATGCGCATTTGGCCGAATAGGCCCATACGATGTCTGAAGGTGCGAGGACAGTGCGGGCAGTAGAGACGAGCTTGGTGGGTGTAGGCCGGTGCTCCAGGCACTGGTTCGCCAGTCTCAGTGCGATGGATTCGCAAGTGACCGACCAGGCCGATGCGTGAGGTGAATGTGCGTGGACAGTGTGGGCACGAGAAGTCGGCGGTGTCGGCTGCGCAGGAAGCGGTGGTGGTGGTGGTGCTGATGAGCGAGCAGAGCGATGGAGCGAGGGTGAGGCTGGGCATGGTGGATGTGTTGGATGCTGTTGGTGTGTCGGAATTGTGGTCAATTCCGCTCTCGTGTGTGCGCATGTGGCCGAATAAACCCATGCGATGCCTGAAGGTGCGAGGGCAGTGTGGGCAGTGGAGGCGAGTGCGGTGGGTGTAGGTTGGTGCTCCAGGCACTGGTTCGCCGGTCTCTGTGCGATGGATTCGCAAGTGACCGACCAGGTCGATGCGTGAAGTGAAGGTGCGATCGCAGTGAGGGCAGATGTAGTCCTGGCCCTCACGTCTGATGATGGAGGATGCAGAGCTTGTGCCTGCTGTTGTGTCAGGTTCGGCTGTGGTGAAGTCGTGGTCGACAGACGCCGAAGCGGCCGTCGTTGTGGCAGTGAAGGAGGAAGAGGAGGAGGAAGGGGAGGAGTGAGGGGTGGTAAGGTCGGTGACGTCGATGTCGGCTGGGGAGAGGTTAGTGGGTGCGCAAGGTGGTGCATTGGGAGTGGGGCTCGGCGGGGTGGGAATGTCACGGCTGCGGTCAATTCCGCTCTCGTGGATGCGCATGTGGCCGAATAGACCCATGCGATGAGTGAAGGTGCGAGGGCATTGTGGGCAGTGGAGGCGAGTGCGGTGGGTGTAGGTTGGTGCTCCAGGCACTGGTTCACCAGTCTCTGTGCGATGGATTCGCAAGTGACCGACCAGGCCGATGCGTGATGTGAAGGTACGGTCGCAGTGAGGGCAGGTGTAGTCCTGATCCTCATCATTGGAATCGGGAGAGGTGGGGGTGGTGGCGGTTGTTGTGTCGGGGTTGGTGATGTGGGAGACGGCAGCCTGAACGGCCGCTGCTGGGACAGTGGATGAGAAGGAGGAGGATGGAAGTGGTGGGGCAGAAGGAGTGTCAGAGTTAGTTGGCGGAAGAGAGGACGAGGAAGAGGCGGCCGGGGGTACGATGGCTGGAGCAGTTCGAGAGGTGCAGTTGGTCCGGAGATGTCCAACAAGTCCGATTCGAGCCCGGAATGTCCGTTGACATCGAGGACACGTAGGGAGCGGTTGTACGGCGGCGTTGCGTACTGGGCGGAGTTGGGATTTGCGGGCTTCGCGTTTCACTTTGGCGGCGGCGATGCGGTTGGCTCCGTGGATGGCAGCGCCCGTCTTCACTGTTCTCCTCCATGTCGGACGATCGCGGGCGAGCTCTTCCCAGTTGGTCGGGTTGATGTGCAGGCGCTTCAGGGAGGACTTCAGTGTATCCTTGTATCGACGAATTGGGCCTCCTTGACGACGAGAACCCGTCGCGACGTCTCCGTAGAAAAGTCGTTTGGGTAGTCGCTCGTCGTCCATGCGCACCAGGTGGCCGCTCCAGCGCAGCTGCATTTGTCTCAACATGGAGTAGATGCTCAGGATTCCCGTCCGTTCCAGCACATCGGTGTCGGGGATGCGGTCCTGCCAGTTCACCCTCAGGATGCGACGTAGACAACTGAGGTGGAAGTGGTTTAGTCGACGTGCCTGCCTCGTGTACACCGTCCATGTCTCTGCTCCGTACAGTAACGTCGGCAGGATGACGGCCTTGTACATCTTCAGCTTTGTGCTCAGTTGGAGACCGTGGCGATTCCAAACTGTGCTTTGGAGGCGTCCGAAGGCTTGACTGGCTTTCGAAATCCTGTTGGCGACTTCGTCATCAATCTTGGTGTTGCGAGATAGGGTACTTCCCAGGTACGGGAAGTTCTCTACCACTTGCAGTTAGGTCCCATTCACGCTGATTTGCGCCGCGTTGGGGGCTGTGGCTGAGTTGGGCGGAGGTTGGTGCATCACCACCGTCTTCTGCGTGTTGATGACCAGCCCAAAGTTCTCAAACGCGGCGGAGAACAGGTCCATGCTCCATTGCATCTCCGCTTCGGAGGTGGTGTTCAGGGCGCAGTGGTCGGCGAAGAGAAGTTCGTAGACGGTTGTTGTGGATACGCGCGATTGGAAGTTCATGCGCCGGTGATTTAGGAGATGACCGTCCGTTCTGTAGGCGATGCGGATTCCAGGGCGTTCGTCGCTGTAGGCGTCCATCAGCATGGCAGAGAACATAAGACTGAAGAGGGTAGGCGCCAGCACACAGCCCTGCTTCACTCCATTGGTCACTGCGAATGCCTCTGAGACAGCTCCGTTGTCCGTGACTTGCGCCATCATACCGTTGTGCAGCTGACGCACCATCTGAGTGAATCGCTCCGGACAGCCGAATTTCTGCATGATCTTCCACAGTCCTTCACGATTCACCGTGTCGAAGGCTTTCGTCAGGTCCACGAATGTAGAGTACAGGTGGGTCCGCATCTCCTGGCACTTCTCCTGAAGTTGGCGGGCGGCGAAGATACTATCCGTCGTCCCGCGATGACGACGGACGCCTCATTGGCTTTCCGGCAGAAGGCCCTGTTCCAGATGGTTATTGAGGCGGTTGAGCAGGATGCGAGCGAAGATCTTCCCGGCGATGTTCAGTAGGGAGATGCCGCGGTAATTGTCGCAGACTTGGCGATTCCCTTTGCGCTTGTAAAGGTGCACGATAGTTGCGTCCTTGAAATCTTGCGGGACTTCACCTTGACGCCACATCTCCTGGAAGAGCGCAGTCAGCTGATCCATCAGTTCTGGACCTTCGTGCTTGTAGACCTCAGCAGGGATTGCGTCCGATCCGGGTGCTTTCCCGCTGGAGAGCTGCTGCACTGCCCTGATCGTTTCCTGGAGAGATGGCGGGAGGTTGAGGTCCACGTTGGTCTCTACTTGCGGCAAGCGGGCGATGGCGGCGTCGGAGATGACGGAAGGGCGGTTGAGGACGCCTCGGAAGTGCTCGGCCCATCGCTGTAGGATTTGTGTCTTCTCAGTCAGGAGAGTGCTGCCGTCGGCGCTGAGGAGAGGAGCAGTGCCCTTCGTCGGCGGACCGTAGACAGCTTTGATTGCGGAGAAGAAGTTCTTCCATTCGTTCCGGTCCGCGTAGCCTTGGATCTCCTCAGCTTTGCGAG